TGTCATGGCCCAAGCCCAAATAAACCCCTAACCCTAAGGTCCATTCGTGTGGCCCATCTTTACCCCTAAAAAACCCTAACTCTCTCCACACTCTTCTTCTATATAAGGGAGACGCCAAAGAAAGGAAGGAGTAGAGATCATCCTTGCAGCGAAGCTCTGCCCTTTTTCACTCGTGACCTAGCCTCCGCCGCTGTTGTGTGTGTGAGTCGTGAGCTCCGGTGACCGGAAAGACCAGGGGAAGGAGGAGCCAACGAAGGCTGTTACGAGCAGTGACTTTGCGGGACGTTTTCCGAACGAACCATAGAGTTTCAGACGACGTTCCACATACGCCTGGATAGATCTCGATCCCAAGTTTTCACAGCATCTTTCAGATCCCGATTCCGAGGTAAGACGAGTTCGCAAATCGTATTTGAATATCAGGAAAAATCACAGTTTTCTGAATCTGAAATTCTTAGTCTCAGATCCGACCAGAGCACTTGCGGGTGATTTTCCGACGAACCGTGAGGATTTATGCGACAATCTACATACCGTTGGATAGAGGATTCTTCGTAGATTCCGTGGCTCTTTTCCGATTTGGATTCCGTGGTAAGATGAACCCGCAATCTACGATTTAAATTTACCCTAGATGTCTGACCAGATTCTGTTCTCGGGTTTCACAGAGCTAACTTTGGAGGAAGGTCTACGCTGTTACAGAAGGAGTTAGAACACGATTTTGGTACCGTTGGAAAGGTGACATTACAAGGATTCCAGATCAAGTCTCCGTTTCACGATCCAGTATAAAACCAGTGAGTTATTGGTNTTGCTTTCTGGTCAAGTAATACTTAGTCTGTCAAAACCCAGAAACCCTAATTTGATCTAAAACGCAGACGCACATTGGAATCGCTATTTTTCCGAGTTTCAGACCGCCAGGAGTGANGTTTCAACCGCTTTTTCTTCCAAACTTAGTTTTTGGACGTAATTTCTAAGGTGAGGGTGGGATCTATGGACTTTTAGTATTACTAATTAATTTGTATTCGTTATGCTAAGTCTAGGAGAT